TGGTGATACTTTCTCTTCTCTACCATTGTAGTCATCATCTTCAACTTCCTCAGCCTGTGTTGTCTAGGGGGGTGTCTGTGTGTGTTTTGGGAGTGTTTTTGGTTGGTGGGGTTTTTTTTTAGTCTTTTGTTTTATTTTGGGTTTTTTATTAAGAGTTGCCTGTGCTTTTAGGTGGAGTGGCAGTTTGCTCTTCTCAGATCACAGTGAGTAAAAACGCCACAGTTTTTCAAAGCTCTACTTAAATGCTGACAAGGGATTGCTGAGTGCCTTGCTGTGATTTTTAAATGCTGTCAATTTGGTTCCTGTTAACAGGAGAACATGAATGACTTGTAACAGTCCTTCAGGTTAACAGATGTGATCCAGAGCACTTGCTCATGTAGAGCAGGGAGAAGGTGGGGTTTATTTGCAAGCTGCTGGAAGAGCAGTAACTTCCATATGTCATACTTGTCCCAAAGAGCTTTATTTGTAACTTCAGGCACAGAAGGGAGTTTGCTGGCTTGTAGAATAGATTAGTTTGCTGAGAGGTGCCGTTTCTGACTGCTCCTATGTTGGTTTCCTGACATACAAAGCCCTGGTCTTACCACAGTTTGTGGCAGTTGCATGCCCCAGTATTGCTTCCAGGAAAGAAAACCGTGAGCACGGAAGGTTGCAGGACAGCGAAATACTGAAGTCTTTATGGACTTTCAGCCTTTGGCATCATGGAACTTATGAAAAAAGTTACTGCATCAGATGAAAGTATTTGTGGTTGATAGGTGTGGGATTTATTTGGTCACGTGGATGGATTTTTGTTTTTTATACATGAGCAGTTAATACTTACAGCAATTTAGGAAACCTCCTCCCAGACTGCAACGCGTATTTGCGTTCAGCTGGAATTGTGCTGAGTGAGTCATCATTCTGCTTCACCCGACCTCTGAAGTGAGGATTTCAGTCTTGAGTCAACAGGCTTTCCTCTGATCCTGCTCGTTCTTCAGATTGGTTCTGAAAACTGGTGCTGTTTTCTGGTTTGGTGTTTTTAAAGTGATATTGTAATACAAATGATCAGAGTAAAACAGTTGCATTCAGTCCTGACATGTTTTTCTGTATGATCAGCCACCTCACTTTGGCATTTGGGGAATATTACTGTCTTTGAGGAATAGTTTTTAGTTTGGAAGATGGAAGTTTTTGTGGAGGGTTTGTGTTTTTTTTCTTTTTGAGGAAGTTAGTTTTATGGAATTTGCTCAAACTGAATAACGTTAGGGATTGTGTGAAGTGTAAATATTTGCAGGTCTTGTGTGCTCTGTGGCAAAATACTGTTTCTGTTGTGTTAACTCTTCTCTCAGATGAGTACTGACTTTTAACTCTTTACTGTATCTAAAGCATTTAAAGAGATCCTCTGTACTATCCGCTAGTTTTAAGCAGAACACTTTCCCCTTCCCTAGTTGAAAGTTAGGTGTGCATGCAGAATCTGCTCAGGGGGGAGATTTTCTGATTTTTTGATGCTGTAGAGGTATTGACTGCATGATATATATGTTTTTTCTTTCATTTTAGTTGAGCACTGTTCAGATGACCTCCATATAAATCCCTGGGATTTATTTCTTTTAATGTGCAGATATTTAAGGCACAGTTAAAGCCAGCTCTTCAGCAAGCAGAGGTATGTAAGTAGAATGCAATTGTTACAGAGGATGAATTGATTGTAAGAGTGGTGCTCTTACAGGAGAGTGTGGGAGAACTCCTTGCCCACTTCATATAAAAAGAAGTGAGTTAATCCTTAAGTTATGATTCCATTTTAATTTTGGTAACAAAGACTAATAAGCTGAACTCTGAGTGTAGTATTGTGACAGGTGTGGATTTGGATAAACTTTGTTAGTGTGAAGGGGGCAGGACATTCTCCCGCAGCTTGGCGGCCAGCTCTGGGATGCACTGCAAGAGAAAAACACCTCCGCGATAGATGCTGGTGTGAGGAATTCCCTTCCTCCTCCTGCCCCTGCACTGCTGCCATGCTGAGTGGGAGTTGTCTCCTCTGTCTGCTGCTGTCTGGTTGCACAGCCTCGGAAAGAGGGACTGGGAAGTCCAAGGCACTTGCCTGCGAAGACTTGCAGCAGGATCTGCAGGGCAGCCTGGCTGCTGGTGCTGAGCAGCTCCCAAGGCCCGTGGTCTGAGGAGGGGAAGGTCCGGAGACCCCTGCTCCGATGGCGACTTGGGAACTTCTGAGTTGGTGCCTGGATTTGCCTGGAGGAAATGGTTAAGTGGCTAATGTTCTGGAGAGGGGATGGAGAGTAGACATAAGCATGCCCTTCATTCAGGGACGCGTCTTGCATTGCTGACAGAGATGGAAAAGTTTTGAGCAAGCCAGTCATTTAAAATGTCAGTGGTACCTCAGTACTTAGAGCTTCTTACAATTAAAAGCATCTGTGATTCATACTGTTCAGCGAGTTATTTCAGCTCCAAAGAGCAAGCTCTTATTTAAAATTTCAATTAGAGTACTAATTTCGTTTGAATTTTGAGAGGAAGGGTCAGTTTTCCACCTACCTTATCTGAAAATCCAAAGCTGTCGAACTACAGAGCACAGGTGAAACAACTGTCTCTACATTAACTGTTACAAATGGAAAAAAGAAAGGTGCAGTGTACAGGTTGGCATGACCAGATCAAGCCATCTGGGCAGCAGATTTATCCGAGTCAGTGTTGGATGTGACCCACTGATGTTCGCTGTAAGATATGCTGTATTCTTAGTTTTTCTTGTAAGTGTCTATGTTGGAATTTGGCAGATAGATTTTAAAATCTGAAGTTTTGTTCAGACTCACATGCATGTCCAGAAATCTTCTAATATAGTCCGGTTTTCTTCTCATCTGTAAAAATGAAAATTGCTTTTAAATAATGCAATTTTAAGAATCCTAAAGGAAAAAAAAATAATGAAAAACCTTAGTTTTATTTTGCATACCTTGGGGTTTCAAACATATTTTCCTCGCATTACACCTTGGAGAAATAACTTTTAGAATTAAAATAAGTGTTATATAAAATATTTAGTCATAGATGTATTAGCTGTGCAAACCCTTCATTCCAATACATGTCTCATTTGTTTTCAAATACTGAATTATATTGTCATTGTAGAAAATAGTACCATACCTATTTGAAAAAAAAACTTCCAGGAGAAAAGTGGTGTGGTAAAATGGACTTTGTTCAAGCAGTAGTCATACTGAAAAATTATTGTGTCAGCAAGTAGTCATCACTGCTTAAATTGTAGGTTAAAAAGCAGAATGAAAGCCATGTTATTGATCCCTCATGAAATAGAGTGGTTGCCCTTGATTTGCTTCTCTCTTTGTAATTGTTGAAAGGGTTTAAAATCGACTGAATAATTTAAAGTGACGTTGTACAACCCGAAGGAAGATTATACTGTGACGTAAGTTAAGGTTTTTTTACAGTATATATTTCTATTCCATGCTGTAAATATGAAATTGCCATAACCATAAACTTCATTAACGTGGGCTGCCGTGATGCTTACATAGTTGTTTTACTCTTATTGTCAGTTGGCTTTTGATTTGCCCCAAGAAAATCAAACCATAAACCCTTCTGTGCAGTAACCGCGTATTCGGACTCTTGAAGTGTGACATTTTATCTTGGAGGGGGAAGCTCTTGCTGTTGTACCACCAAAAATGCAGAAAAGACTAAAAAAAAGAGTGAGCTCAGCAGCACTGCTTAAAAGAAGCCCAGACCTTGTTTGAAGGTAGAATGTGGTATATATTCTGCTCTGGCTGTGCCTTATTGCATGACTTAACATTATGCAAGGCTTTAGCTCTTTTCCCTGGGGTGCTGATTGAGAACAGAATCTATTTTTCTTTCTTCCTAATTTATTCAATTTTTTTAGTATTTTAGCTAACATTTCTCTGGAGTTCGAAACACTGCGTAAGATGCGAGGGGAGGGTTGGTGGGTTTCTGTGTTTTTTTAATTAATAGAATAGTGAATGATTATAGTTATGTTTGGTTTGGGTGTGGTTTTTTGGAAAGAAATATCTCTAAGGGCCAAATTTTAGGTAAAGAAAACAATAAAGAAGGAAGTTAGGATGAAATCATTAGTTTTCTTTTTTATATCCTGCTTTGTATTATCTGGATGCTGGGATGGACGAAACTTTTTAAGTCAGCATGAGTTGATTCTTTCTGTTGCTGTTGAACAATTTAAATCAAGACTGATCTTAGTTTTGATCTTAATGAACTTTAATCCTGAATTGTGTTTGTAGTTTTTAATGACTGTGTTCTTCTTTAATCAAAGCTTCCCTCGAAGTAAAAATTGAAGTTTCCCTTACTTGCTGCAAACTAGTTTTCTTCATTGTTTAAAGGCCTTGGCCAAAAATTGGACGCGGTCAGTGTTGATATGTAGCTGTGAATCACCTTTTACTATCATCTCATACCCTGTGAAGGAAATAAAGCATTTCAAGCAAAACAAAAGATAACAGAGTTATGTGAAAACGTGACAATAAGCAGGGTACTGCTGCCATCTATTCAAACCGGAGTTATCCTAATACTTAAATGCTTCTGTGATTTCTAACGTGGTTTGTGTGGGGTGTCTTGTTCATTTGTTTTATCTAGGTGACTGACTCAGAGGTCGTTTTTTTGTCTTTTTTTTTGCCTGTAAAACTTCAAGTAAAGAACAGTGGTTTCTTAAAAATTAGGTTTTTAATGTGCAGAGTGTCATATAAATGATGTCTTTGACTGTAAAGTTTGACAGTAGCTATCCAGTGGTAAAATTCTTTCAAACATGTTGTTAAAATGTACTAGAGAAGTTCTCTAAGTAGTAATCGTAGTCATGAATCTTGTTATGTTTTGTGTTGCTTCTATGAGTAACCAAAAAGGCTTTTTATTATGGGATGATCGTGTTTAGACTTTGCATTTACTGATCTTAATGCAACACCATGAGATAGCGGTTTTATTGAATGCTGTCAGGTGTGTCTGTTGTTGATTTATTGTGGTAGTTCTTAACAAAGTTCTAATTTTTTTTTTATTTTTTTTTTTTCCCCCTCACCAGGCCTTAATTTATTTTGGAGTAGGATTCCCATGGCATGTGAACTAGAAGATAATTTGAAATAGAAGGTGTCTTTATCTTGAAGTGACAGTCTTTATCAAAATGGTAGGAAAACTCAAACAGAACTTGCTATTGGCATGTCTGGTGATCAGTTCAGTGACAGTGTTTTATCTGGGCCAGCACGCTATGGAATGTCACCATCGAATAGAAGAACGCAGCCAGCCTCTGAGGACGGAGGGTGTGAGAAGCACAGTAAGAACTGCTTCCGATGTAAATGCAAACAAAACCTTTGCCTACAACAAAGACATGCCTTTAATATTTATTGGAGGAGTTCCTCGGAGCGGCACGACCTTAATGCGTGCCATGCTTGATGCCCATCCGGACATTCGATGCGGAGAAGAGACAAGAGTAATCCCACGAATTCTGGCCGTTAAGCAGATGTGGGCTAGATCAAGCAAAGAGAAGATCCGACTGGATGAAGCTGGAGTCACAGATGAGGTTCTGGACTCAGCCATGCAAGCGTTTTTATTGGAAATCATTGTGAAACACGGAGAGCCTGCTCCATATTTGTGTAACAAAGATCCTTTTGCTTTAAAATCCTTAACTTATCTTGCTAGAATTTTCCCCAATGCCAAATTTCTTCTAATGGTGCGGGATGGCCGTGCATCTGTGCATTCCATGATATCTAGAAAAGTCACAATAGCTGGGTTTGACCTTAACAGCTACAGGGACTGCTTGACCAAGTGGAACCGTGCTATAGAAACGATGTATAACCAGTGTATGGAGGTTGGTTTTGAAAGGTGTATGCTGGTACACTACGAGCAACTCGTACTGCATCCTGAAAGGTGGATGAGAACTCTCTTAAAGTTTCTTCGCATACCGTGGAACCAAGCAGTACTGCACCATGAAGAAATGATTGGAAAAGCAGGGGGTGTTTCTCTTTCAAAGTGAGTATGAGCATTCCTCCTTTACCTTCTGTTGTTCTAAGAGGTAAAATAGTACATTTGGCATATAAAAGACTAGTCATAATTTGGTTTTAGTTTTTGAGTAGCTAACGATGTCTTGGGAAGCTGATTTGTGATGCAGATTGTCTGGAAAGAAGGAATGATTGTTAACTAGCAATTTGCAGTCTTAGATTTCTCCCAGTGCTAAACAATTGTCCAGCTAATGTGTATGGAGCATATGAACGAACTTTGGATTAATGTTCTGTCTAACTTGGATTTGGATGTCTAGCATCAGCCTTTCTTCCAGTGCAGCTTTGCTTTTCCCTATGCCCCAAAATAAAGCTCGACTGTTTTATCTAGGCTGGTGTTACTCATCCTAGCAAGATCACCCGTTTGATTTCAGGAACTGAAGTGTTGTTGTTGAATCAAGAATGACCTTCGAGTTGTATTTGCCAAGAACATACTCTTCCAGGAAACTTGAGAAACTGTTCCAATAAAATAGAAAGCAGAATTGGCACGCTTCTCTGTTGGCATGTGCTCCTAAAAGGACAAATATTTTGAATAAAATTAACCTTGTTGTAAGGAAATCTCTCAGTATTCTGTCATGCCATCTGTGCCCCTCACTTAGCTACTTTCAGAAACTGAAATCCTGCTCTGCTTAGAAAACCTGGATAGGTATTGTGAAAGGGAGGGGGGGGGAACCACCAGCCAGTTAATTCTCCCGTTAAACTACTTTGGTTTCTTGGCCATTGCTCAAAGCAGAGTTGCTGAGCTGTGGAAACTGGGTAGTCTTATGGAGGGGAAAGGAGTGAATGTTTGAATCCCTCTGCTTTTTGTTTGGATTTTGTTGTGTTTTTTTTTTTCCCTATGATAAATACGTCTACCAGATTGTCTTGTTAAAGTTTCTAAAATATTGATTAAAAAGCCCTGTTCCAGCAGCAAGCCATGCCCAATTAAATTCCTTGACTTCTGGGTTTTAAATATTCATCAAGTGATGTGCTTCTGAGTAACAGGGGCACCTTGCACAGAAAGCAATGTGGACTGAGTAGAGGCATGTCAAACTGTTAATTACAGAGTGATTTCATTATTTAAAAACTACAGTTTTGAGAAATACAAATTGGGAGATTTTGTTTATTTAATGTCTAGGGAAGTGACTGTGTGGATTTTCCAATATTTTGTAGGGGAATATAATTTAAAGCAAATCACAGAATTATCAGTCAGTGACTACAAAGAGAACTTAAAACTCAGATATGGTTATGAATTTAAATTCTGGAGGTTTCACATCACCATTCCCACTGAAGAAACACACCGCTGTGTTCTCAGAGCTATCAAGGCATCTCAACCTTTTTATTTTTTGCACTATTGTTAGCAGATTGAAGCCTTCTGCTGTTGTTAACCTGAAGCAGTGTACTGTTGTGAGTCTCTGCAAGCTCTATCTGTACGTGAACTTCTCTTTAGTTACCTGTATCACGTTACTGCTTCACAGTGGCAGCTGGGGGTGGGGGGTAAACTCACTTTTACTGACATAAATAGGTGGTTGCCAAGTTCTGTTAAGTGTCTTGTAAAAATAACTATGCATAATGTCATTTCTAGTAAAATACTACTACCTTACGGCTTCCTGATCAGCGTTTTTAAAAATTAATGGACCTCTGTACTGTAAAACTCAGTAGCCTTACTGAATTCAAGTAATATTTCTTGCTAAATCTGGTGGAATGGGGTATGAGAAGTCGAGAACACTTGTTCATGTCTCTAGAAACCAAGAAAATGGATTGTTGAAAGTGAGATTATTTTTTAATTCAAGATTATTTTAATTCAAGATTATTTTTTAATCAAACTTTCAATTTAAGACAAACGAGTATGGAACTATTCTTGTGACCCTCAAATCAATCTATTCATGGAATTCTTTATGCTTTTATTATCTCTCATGAGATGATATGTGAAAGAAATTTTTTCAGAAGGCTTTGGCAATAGTGGAAGAAGAATGGGTTATTAGTGTTATGTCTGTGGTGTTTATCTAATCAAATACCCTTGACATATATTATGAGACGTGTTTTTTTAGTTGCAAAACCTTTATAATTTGATAATGATTTCAGTGACTCAGTCTTTTGAGGGCTGCAGGAAAAACAGTGAATATGAAGTTCTCCAACTTGGATGTCTGTTTTGTGTATTCGTATGACACTAATTGAAATTGTGCAGAGGAGCTTGAGATTCCCCAATTTTATTTCCTTGTACCAGGTAAAACCTCCTGCTTTTGGCATCCTCAGCTCCTGGCTGTCCTCTCATGTGCAGCAGGGTGATGTGGACAGGGACAGCTGTCGTTCTAGGTTGCTCTTGCCCAGAGCAGGGGGTAGCTGCACAGAAAAATTACTCTTTGGAAAGATTCTTGCTAGGTAGTTTACTGAGAACTTTACAGCCTGCCACAGACAGCTTACCAAATTTTGACGGCTGAACAAAACACACCTTGCATTAGACTTAGTTTTCCTTCTGACAGGTTGTATTTGGCTTGTCCTCAGCTGCAGCAAAGTTCTTTATGGCCTTGAGAGCGTGTGGCTGTTACGTTCTGTGTCAGGTTCTAACCAACGTCGTTCTCTTACGACTTCGAGTTTCTGTTTAGGCTTCCTGCAGAGTGGTCTTTACTTCAGTGTGAATGCTCTCTTCTGTCAGCTGAAACAACAAAAGCTGGAGCAGTGGAGCTCCATGTTCTGATTAGGAGCGTTTTCCCACCTGACTTTCCAAAGGACGGTGCTGAAAATCACTCCAGAGATGATCTAAGGAAATTCAAAAAACTGCTGTCTATTGCAACTCTGTTTTCTCACAGAGCTTTACTTTACCACATGCCTGGTACCAAGTGCTTCAGGCTGTTTCATCATAGTATGTTAAAATCAGAACACTCAAATTATATGACAGTTTTTACTGGCAGGAGGAGGATATCACAAGAACGAAATAATTTGTATTGAAATGTGACGTCCCTTTAAAAGATACCACCACATGGGCTTAGCCTCTGTAGCGTAGTAGGGACAGTATGAAGATGTAGATAAAATTAGTTCCCTAGTTGTCTGCAAAGTGTTAGGTAGGGTAGAAAACCTCTGAAGTCAAAGAATGAACAGTGATTATACTCAGCAAAGGTGTGATGCTTTGTGAAGACTTTAGAAAATGAGCAGAGAAACCTGTCTCAGTCATCTTCCACTCACGTTTAAGACTCTTGGGCAGGATCAGAATCCACTTCAGAGGCTTGATGCCTCCTTGATTCAGGTCCAACGTAAGATGCCCAGATGTGTTTTAACTGTTGGAGGGTTTTTGAAAATAAATCAGAAGAGTCTGTTGTCTTGAAGTATTTAAAAACACTTTGAGAAGGAGATTGCAGTATCGCTAAAAGATCTTTATAATGATGTTATTACCTGGTACCAGAAAGCGAATGTCTGAAAATACATTTTTAACTTATCTGAAATCAAAATTGACTATGTCAAATGAAATCTGTGTCAGATGAACGAGGCTCTAGGCCAGCGTAAGGTGTTTTATTTTCAGTTGTGTATGGAGTTAAATTGTGCATGCAGGCTGTTTCTCTTCCAGAGATGAGCTAGCTGCCCAGTGGCTTGCAGAATTCTTCGGGCAGAGAGCTGACTCCATTTTTCTCGTACTCCAGAGTCAGAAACTCTTATGCAATAGTCTGTTAATAGCACTATTAGATACTAGACAGTCTATATTTAAGATTCTGACTTCGTATGTTCCCCCGGCTGCTTGATTTGAGGAAACTCTTGGCTGCCTTATTCTCTTCTCCTGCATTTGCTTAGTAATCTCTGCTTTTTCTGTTGCTGATGCAGCCCTAGCCTCACTGTTGTTCTATTTTGCTTAGTGTTTTTGCCCCTTATTTTTGTTTTTATCCAGCTGGAAGAAGAAACACTGCAAGGGTTTTAAGGATGTGCACCACAGAATTTGTAGTAGCGGGAAACCTTCTGTGGTTTGAAGTAATTGCCAACGTGGCTGTTGAAGGAATGTATTACGGCTGGACTACATGCTATAACTAGTATTGTTAATATAGCTCTGACATTTGCCTCCTAACTGAAAACAGCTGTGGGTAACCACTGATGCAAAGAAATGGCAGCCCTTTTATAGCAATTTTTATTAGGCTTATTATGAAAATAGCTGTCTAGGCAAAATTACTTCAGAATATACTATTTTTAATACATACCTTTCGTTTTATTCCAGTACAGATGTAGAAGTATTTGGGGTTAGTCCTGTGTTCCCTGCTACCAGCTGCTTTCAAAGCTGAAACTGGTTTTGCAGTGGAACCTGGAAACACTGACCAGGCAGCATTTGCCATATGCATACATAATCAAATTTGCCAAGACTTGGCATGTTTCCTTGTTTTGCTCCCTTTGGGTTTTTGGGGGTGTTTTCCCTCCCATTCCTTCTCTGTCTTCCCCATACTCTTCAGATGTCCTTTGGTCTGAAGAAGCTTTCCCATGAATTGTGTTTCACTTTTCTTCCCACCTTGACTGAAAGGACGGGAGAGGATTTAACCTGAAGACCAAATGTGGTACAGCGTATTTTTGAATCGGTGCCTAGGAACAGCTAAATGTAGTTTCCTGCTTATCTCTTGCCAGGTATTAATCACCAGGAAATGTTTCATGCTAAGCTTATTGTTACTGAAGTGACAGTGGAGCACACATTTTTAAATGTGCTTTTACTTCAGGACGAGATATTCCTATGTGTACTAATTTAGGTCCTAATTTACGTATAGCACCCATTGTTTGGGGGTTCCAATGAGCTATTAGTCAAACCCATTACCTAGTTCTCACAGTGTCACCCTTATTTTCAATGGTTGAATCATTCTACAGTTTTGGTGAAGGGATTTTGGGCTTGACTGGCTCTGTCTGAGAGGGAGAGGACCATGAATCTTACGCTTCTCAAACACCTAGTGATAATTTTTTCTGGACTGGAGGGTCCCACCCGCCATGGTTCTACAGACTCCTGACTCTTGTGGTGCTTTGTCCTCTGCCGTGCTGCTTTGAACTTCTGAAACTCGACTCTTAACAGGTATTTCTGTGCTAATTTGATTAGAAGTCAGATGCTCATCTTCTAATTAGAAGGATCAAAAAAGCAATGCCCAGACTTCTTAGTTTGCTGTGCAGACCTGTGATCTCAGGCCAATAGCCTTCAGGAAGGCTGAAACTCGGCTGTGTTCCCTGGTCCCAGAATCCCGTTCCGAGTTCCCACCTTCAGTTTGAGCTACTGGAAATGGTTGAGGAGAGTAAGGCTGAAAATTCTGTTGGCTGTCTTACAGTTTTTTGTTTGTCAGGTGCTGACTCATCAGCTGCCATTAAACACGTTTTGCAGCAATCCATGTCAAGACAGTTTCCCCATGGGTGACCATCTCCCTGTCTGGTTTGTTCTTTGTTGATTGTGTTTAAAGTACGTAAGTTACTGACCTTCCAGTGTTGTATGACTAACTTCCTTCCTCTGTCCTGGAAGAATTTTAGCTATGGTGAAACAGAGTAACAAGTCGAAGACTGGTGTTAAGATCGAATTGAGTTAATGCCTGTCAGCCACGCGTATGTAGTTCGTAATTGAAGACTTTCATTGCACAGTGCAGTGTTCATCTCAGTGGGGTGCCTCCTGCTATTGATGTAACGTTTGTCTAATGTGCAACAATACTTCAGCCTCTTCTTGGGCTCATGAGGTTAATTAGATAACTGTAATTAAAGTTGTTCTTCTTGTAAGTTGACTGATGTCAGTCTTGAGAGCAATTTGACTTTATCTCAGGCTACTGGCCTTAGAAACTGTCAGTAACGTTTCAGGAAATTTCCATTTATTTTTCTCAGAAGATATTTTCTCATGTTCTGCCTGCTATATAACTGAAGAATTAGCTGCTTGACAAGTAATTTGAATCCCAGTATTCCCATTCTTTCTCTCATGTAGATGAGCTACTGCTGTTGTACTTTGTACTGATACTTTCAAGTGTAACAATTTTGTTTTCTGGGTGGTAGAGCTTTTGGGGATCAAAATTCTTTATGGTGTAAATGAGGCCTGGGAAGGGTGATAGCTGCAAGTGGATGTGACAGCTGTGTGCTCAGGAGCAGGTTTTGGGCAGATATAGCCAGCCAGCAGGGTGCAGTGGCATACCTTACGGTATTACTTACAATGCAGATGCAAATATTCCTTGGCACCTTGTATATACAGACCTGGTTTACAATCTGCCTTAAAAGAAAGATAAACCTTGACATCCAAAACACATTGGCACTCTTTCTGTGTTCAAAAAAAAGTTTAAAATTACTCAGAGTGAAAAC